TCTCGGGGTGTGGGCTGGCCTCGCCAGCACACGTGGCTTTGAGTCCTTGAGAAGCAGCGCATACCGATTCAAGGCGACAAGAGTGTCTGGCCCAAGATTCGTTTGACCCGATGTGATATGCGAATCCAACTCCTTAAGACAGAGCTTGCTGGCACGGCCAAAAACTTGGCCGTCGGCAAATTGTAGCCGACCCCTGAGCCGCTGCGCATCTTTGTTACGCAGTTCTTTGTTCTGGACTGCATTGGCAAGTGCAGATAGAAGCTCTTGCACTCGGTTGTCGGTGTTTCCCACTTCTACGCGGCCGCTGCTAAAAGGTGCTAAGTTGAACCTCACCCCTAATGATTCAAACGAGCTGCCAAAATCTTGGGCCTTCTTCCCCTCCTCCGCAAACTGCCAACCTAATAGTCTAAAGAAGCGGGGGATGTGATCAGCGGTGAAGGCACAATCTGATTGCCTAGCCAGTGTGGGAAAATCGTCAAAATAGCACGTCCACAAGAAGCCCAAGTGGCATCCGAGCGTCCACACCGAGTGCACTGTTCTGAGGAAAGAGTGTACACTCCTCACCGCTCCGAAGGGTAAGGCTTTAAGGCGATGCACAGAAGGTTGACCCGACTGCTCATCGTGGAAAGCTACGCAAGCATCCTTTAGGGCATCTTCACTTAGGCCAAGCTGACGATAAGCGGACTTAAGGTCGTAGCTTCTCCCTTTAAGGTTAGCCCTGGGGAAGGTTTCCAAGCATTGCAGTATCAAGCAAGCCAGCACGTCTGTCGCGTGCGGCTGTGGAGATTCACATGCCTGCACGGCGGCGTTCACGGAGCTTCCCGACAAGTCGTCTATAAGCCGTACCTTTTGAGAATCCCCGGAACCTTGCGACAACCCAAACCTCCTACTGACTAAGGCCTCATCTTCCAAGTCATTAGGATCGATTGGCCCCTCCAACCAACCTTTGTCATGCTCTTCAGCTGTTTTGCGTTTCACTTCTCGATCTAGCTCGCCTTGGGAGCGCACCGACTCCAAGACGTGCTTCCTGGTCTGTGACGCTTTGCGATGGACCTCTTGCGGTGATGCCGAGGCAGGCTTGAATACCTGGGGAAACAACCCTGTAAGCGGCACTTGACCCACTAAGTCCGTTCCCCTAATCGTCTCATCGACCACTTCCATATCCTCGTAGCCTATGTCCTGCAGGAGCTCCTTCCACAAGAGGATTTTCTTAGGCCCTAAGATATCTCTTAAGTGGGCTGGCATGTCGGCTTTGAGGGCCGCCTCACTCTCTTCCAAGGCTGCCGCCCGGGCTTCCCACCGTTCAAACCATTTTTCCCTAAACCTAAGAAGCTCTTCCGAAGACAACGATCGGTTGATTTCCACAGCCTTGTCAAGCACCCGCGGCAAAGGAACTTTCAACAGTTTAGGGTGTCCCACTTTGCATGCAGCCCGAACAAAGGAGTCAGGGGAGTAGGGCACGCCCCACGCCTGTTCAAGAGTGGGCTCAGCAGAGCTCGGAGTCACGGCAGAAACATCAACCCCCTTCTTAACCGAAAGTGGTACAGTTCGAAGAAGTTGCGCATTAGCGGGGATGCGGCGCACGGAAGCAGAGCAAGCTGCTGGCAATTGCCATGGCTCCTTGAGACGGCCCATAGGGGCGCACGGAGCAGAATCAAGGGCTGATTGGGGGCCACGAACCAGCAGGACTGTGCAATGTTCTGGCACAAGGGCAGGAAACTTGGCTGCAGAAGGTTGAGGCCCGGCGGCTGCACGGCATGCAGACAACAAGCTAGCTGGCTTGGGCAAGGCTTGTGGCGGCTCCCAGCCGGTGGTCACCAGGTGTGAGGCAACACAATGTGCAATGGCAGCCGCTAAGGGCGGCGGGTAGGCGGTTTCGGCTTTGGTGGCGAAACCGGCGTGTGTAAGGCCCCAGGGCTCGTGCCGATGTTCGGGAGACTGTCCTGGACATGAGCGCTGCAAGGACGAGAAGGCATCATGGCTGGCAGCCAGGGTGGTTCGTTTTGGGCGTGAGCCACCGAACATGCAATGATCGAAGGATGTGCGGTAAGGGCAGAGATGCGCGATGCTCTGAAAGGCCGTGGTAGCCCAGAACCAAGAACGGCGCGGGTTCTCACACACGAAGAGCACATCACGACGGTGGCACTCCAGCGCGACCTTGGCCAAAAAGGCATACAGTGCATTAGCTGCTTGGACTCGTTGCTTATCGGAACCCTGAAGGTCTGGCAAACCGTCCGGAAACTGGGCGGTTCAGGACATTACTACACCACGCAACATCCAAAAGGCTACTGCGAGGAATGCTATGCAGAAGAACAAAGCTGAACATGTAAGCAGTGCGGGCACTTCAGTTCTTTTTCGGCTTGCCGGTAAAGCGACTGCTCAGTCGTCAAGTGTCCCGGTTGGATCTTTGATCCGTCCGAGATCGCAAAGCAAAAGCTGGCATGGCGGAGCAGTCGCAAAAGCCCGTATCGTGTCATAAGCGAACAAATAAAAAGCGATAAAGCAAGAAGCGTAATAAGAGCCAAGCAGCAGAAAGCGACCTAGGAAAAGCTAGCGGGCTGTGACTGAAAAGCTCCCTGTGCCAGAAGCGTGCCCAAAGGTGTGGGCGGGTGGGAAAGTTTTTGAAAGCAAGCTGTTGTTGCGTGGTGTATGCTTGAACCCAAGCGGGGGCAGCGGGGATGAGTAAGTCCGAAACAACCCTGAGTAAACACAGGAACCGTTCAGGACATTACTACACCACGCAACATCCAAAAGGCTACTGCGAGGAATGCTATGCAGAAGAACAAAGCTGAACATGTAAGCAGTGCGGGCACTTCAGTTCTTTTTCGGCTTGCCGGTAAAGCGACTGCTCAGTCGTCAAGTGTCCCGGTTGGATCTTTGATCCGTCCGAGATCGCAAAGCAAAAGCTGGCATGGCGGAGCAGTCGCAAAAGCCCGGGTCTGAAACTGGCAAGCCGAAACCTCGCAAACGCAGTGAAATCCCAAGCAGAAAAGTGAGGTGAGGAAGCTACTTGCGCTTCGTTGAGCCGCGGTTTGTCGGGCCCAACCTGGTGGCTGAAGGAAGCTGCCACTTTAAAAATGTGTCGGAGGGAAAAAGCTTCACTTGAAAGCGGATCTGCCAGAACTCAGACAGGTACAGCTCGATGCGGTTGGAAGGCAGAAATTTGGCCGGGAGTTCTGCGGAGCCGTCCCACCGAGAAAGAAGATCTGCGTCGTCGTTCTTTTCGCCAGCGATATGGCTGCAGTCCAAAGTGACACCGGTTATAGAGCTCCACATTGAAAGCTTGCGAACGAAAAGATTAAGTGGTACTTTAGACGTGTAAAGCTTGTTACACACTGACTCAGCACCACTATTATCGCTCAAAGCTGGTAATGTGAGAGCCAAGCGACCTGAACCATGGGCTTTCCAGAAAGCAAGAAGCACGTAGCATTGCGCAAGCGTCTCGTAGCTGGAGATGTCCAGGTTGGCATCGGGTTGCATTAGCAGACCAAGCTCCAGAAAGTCCTGGACCGTGTATCGGTGAGCAAACCAAAGCAGGCGTCCACATGGGAGAAGTAGCCAACCGCCAACGCCACAGTCGTTGCCCTTGCCAAAGGCATCAGCTGCTGACTCCACCGAACTGGTAGGTGGTGGTCTGAGTGGTCGTGGACGCCATTCCCTGGAGATCAAGTGGGCAAAGAAGGAAAGTGTTTCTCTGCTGGCCTCCGAAAGGCGTCGCTTCGAAGAAGTGGGGTCTGTAACACGAAGCCACATGCGTTTTGTGCTTACCGGGACTAAAGCGAGATCAGTCTTGCTATGTAGAGTTTTGTGCCGAGCTGAAAGCAAAGTGGACCCCTCAGAAATGCTGGTGCCCGGCGGTGTCCCAGTAAAGCGCAGCTTGTCGTCCAAGTATGTGTGGATACCTGGCCAGGAGCATGGGCTGATGCTTACATTTGTACCAAGTGGTCTGTGCATGTCGTCGTACAGTGTGCACAGCCATGGGCGCAAAGCGGGAAGCCCGTGCAAGATCCACTGGAGTAGGCCGAGTAGTTTGTCCAGTTGTTTGCGGGTGACAAGTCGATGCCTCAGGCATTCTTCCACCTGTGAAAGCAGCTTCAAGCGTTTTATCTCGGGCAGTGTAAAACAGCCAGCATGGAAGTCGAGCTGCCACCCTATCCAGGTTATAGAGGGGCCCATCTGCAGTTTGCGCCAGCTAAGCGGTATGTTGAAGCATGAACAGAACGCCAAAACCAAAGAGGCGCTGAGGGGAAGTGCACGGGCGTTTTGCCAAAGAAGCAGATCATCTACGTACAACATCAGTACGTGGGCCAGCCAGATAAGTAGATGTAAGCATCGCACAAAGAAGCCTCCTAAGCGGGCAAACCAGTGGCTTGAAAAAGTGGCCCCGAAGGGACAGACACGGTAAAAGAAGAGGCGGTCCTGCTGTCTGAGGCCAAGCAGGCCTCTGTCTTGCTCCCGCACAAGTGAGGTTTTGTGCGCTCCCTTGACATCTAAGCTGAAGCCTGAAGCGGGCTCCTCGTCCTCCCTCGTCGGGAAAGCGGCCTGAATGTCCTGGAGGCTTGGTAGGGAGAACTGCTGGAACGTTGCAGTTTTGGTTCGTGTTGCAAATGCTGTTATCGATCACCAAGCGGGGAGCGCGGCCTGGAGCTTTAACGATGTTGACCTTACCAACTGCAACACGATCTTTTCCCCACCTTTCGTAAGCGGCCTCCAGACTGTCCATTTCTTCGATGTAGCCGGAGGACACCTCTTCTTCAATAAGCTCCTGAAGCAGGGCAGGATCCGCCTCGGCTCCTTGCCAGTTGCCTTCGCAGATAAGTAGATCTGCGGAGCTTTCCGTTTCCTCTGCACTGCGGGGACGTAGGGTGTGGCTGCGAGGGATATCTCCATCAAAGCCCGTGGGGACCCCCTTCTGCAAAGCGGGGAATAAAGTTGTGTCTTTGTCCCCCAAGAGGGTGCTCAAGCGCTCAAGTGCCGATAGGCAGTATGGTTGACCTTCCTTAACAGAAAAAATCCCAATCCTGAGCTGGGGAGTGAGCGTCCGAAAAGCGTTTAAAGGATCCACGCAGCCACGATGTTTCCTCTTCCGAGAAAAGTGGGCTGTTGCTGCCTGCTGCGACATGTTGCTGAAGGCGAAGTGGTATCCTGTGCGAGAGAAGCCAGGACTGCCATTCTTTGCGCAAATCGTGCAAGCTGTCAGACTGGTATCTGGGGCCCATTGACCAGTCCGGCAAGGAGTAGATGCCACCTCCATCCTGTGACGCTGTAGGTGTCACTGCCCGGGGCTTCTTAGGGATCGAAGAGAGTGCGAAAGCCAAAGAACAAGTTGGAACGCTGTGAGAGGGCCGGCGTGACGAGAAAAGTTGAGCCGCTTGCTGAGCAAAGCGGTTTGCTAACTGGGCCGGGTACTCCGCGGTGCGCTGTGACAAAAAGTTGCCAAGCTCGTCCCTGACGCCGGCCACAGAGGGGTGGCCCTCCGAATGAGAGCATGTACCTGCCAAGGCTCGCATATCATCGAAGCTGCATGCGAAAAGCCAAGATTTTGCTACGTTCTGGCCAACTGAGCACGCCGGGATGTTGACCAGGGAAGCTTGTATCTCAGCGAGCATGTCCTGTACGAATGGTTCAAGCCAAGACATTGCGTTCGTGGGCTGTTCCAGAGACACATGTGCACCTGAGTTGAAAGCGGCTCGAAGCAGGCATACACAGCGATACAGAAGCTTCTGGCTGCTTACCACGCGTTCCTGCTGTGAAGCTGTATTGCCCGGCAACCCGTTGAGATGTTCCGGGGATCGGATAGCAGCAGGTCCCCCGGGGCGTAGCTTCAAGCGGGAGTACTCTTTGCATGGTGGAGATCCATGAGCACAACGTACAATGCCTGAGAAGCATAACCGAAGGAGGTGATCGTACGTGTCGTCGTCCAAGAGGTCCAGCTGCTCCTCACCAAGCAGATCAATGGGCAAACATATGATGCCACATGATGAGATCGCCGTGGTAAGTGGGTGAGAGGCACCACAGCAAATATCTAAGAAGATCTCGACGTGCGCGTTGTCCTTCAGTGCAGGGGGTGCAGCCTGAGGAAGTGTTGTAGGTACCGGAGGCAATGGGAACCCCAGCGACCTTAAGTGTGCCAGCGACTTCGTGTCGAAGCTGTGCAGGTTCCTGCAAGTGTAGGCAGTCAATACCCACCTGTCTCCTTGGATCGGCATCGTGCAGTGGAGGGATTCACAGCCAAAGGAAAGCGGTGAATGCCAGGTGTCGCGCAATTCACCTTTGCCTGCATTTTCCGCTCTATGGGCCTCGGATGAGGCCTCCAAGGGGGCCGGGATGTTGGCAGCCGAGGGGTCCAAAGCTGGGCTAATCCAGATCTCACCTCCGCTGAAATTGCCGAGTGAAACTGTGTGATTGAGTGTTCCTGAAGCGTTGCCAGCATCCGTATGTAGGCGAGTACGAACGTTGTGACTCACGCACAAGGAGCTCCAAGAGGCACCCGGGAACTGAAGCTGCATGAAGGCGTTCAAGAAACGAAGTACATCGGAAAATTGTTCAGTGCGCTGAAATATCCCCGACCTGGTGCCGTTGTCAAAGGAGAAAGCTCCCAGGTTGAAATATGCTCCGGAAGCGTCAATGGCATTATCGGTGGGGCTTGCGGCATCAATGAAGGGAATGGAAAAGTACTGCGCTAAAAGCTCCAAGCAGGTAGCGAAGTCGAGGGAGCCTTCACTGATTGCCAAAGATGCACTGGATACTGGGGCACTAGCCTTGGGCAGTGCCGAGGTTGCCCCTGCTGAACCTGATGGTTGAGCAGGCACTGAAAGCGGGACAACTGTGACCTCCTCAGCGATGTCCCGCTGGTCGCTGAAGTGGGTTTCCTAGTGCGGGGTAGCCACATGCTGAGAAGCTGGGTGATTACCCCCGCAAGCGGTGCCGTCACTCTTGGGCACTGCGCATCTGTGCAAATAGCGGCACGTGGCTGGGTCCTTGCATTGACCGCTCTGGTAACGCATGCAAAGAGTCTGGCGCTTGCCATCCATGAAGATGGTTGAAAGCCATTTTCCGGGAGGCGTCGCCTGCTTGTTGTCCTTGCCTTTGCCACCTTTGCCGCCTCGCTCGAAGCGCTCTCCCTTCTCGCCTTTGCCATCGCGGCCTTTGCCGCCACGGCCCCCGCCTTTGCCTCCACGGCCATTGCCTTTGGAGCCGGCCTTCCAGCTGTTGTCCGGGTCGTTCTTGGGTTTGGGTATGAATGGCCTGGGCGCAAGTAAGCTGTGCAAATCAGATCGCACCTCCGCCACCTCGTGAAGCGCATCATCTAGCTTCCAATGATGCACATTGACTAAGTCGGCGATGATTTCCCAACATCGGCGATCAGCTGCCTGGGCTTCCATCGTAGTGGGGCCCCGTAGGCTGGCGGAGGCCTCGTATTTGGTGAAGCAAATGCGGGTGAACTTTCTGTTGTAGAGTTTCAGGGAGCCTAGGTGTGCCCCCTGGCATAAAGCGATCGCGTTCGCAGCAAGTGAGAGAAGCTGTGTCACGAAGCTGAAAGAAGCGGGGCCTTCATGTATATCCCGGGTCGGAGCCTCGTCGAAGAAGAACTCCGCGAGGTCAAAGCGGGCCTGTTTCTTGGGCCTGATAAGCAGGCTGTCTTCTTGCGCCCTTGCACTTAAGCGGTACTTCCAGGGAATCCATCGAACTTCCTTTTCTGAAAGCATCTTATTGGTAAGGGCCAACAAGCGGGCGCTCGGAAAGCTCTCGGCATCGAGGAGTTCAGTGGGGTAATCCTCCTCGAACCTTTTCCTAAGCGCTGCGGTGCGTTCGCCGCTGAGTTTTGCAGGCCAAGCCTCCTGCCATGAGCTAGAAAGCGGGACTGCGGCCGGAGCGGTTGGCACAGCCGTTGAAGGCGCTTCTCCAAGCGGGAGAGCAGCGCTGGAAGTAGCTTCTAAGGATGCCATGCCCTCTGACTGTCGACACTTGAAGAGGAGTAAGCGCAACGACGCTTTGGTGATGAAGCGTTCCGCTGCTTCTGTGACCGAGGCTTCGGCCATAAAGTGGTTGACCAATTCTTCTAGCTCTGCCGAAGTGGTGCAAGCACGTGCGTACAAAGCAGTGTCAAACGCCGAGAGCAGAGAGGCCACCGCAGGAGGCACGTTGCAGTCCGACACGAGCTGCGCGAAGTCGGCCATGGCGAAGAGACCTGAGCGGGGTGAGTGGCTGATGTGAAGCGGGATGTGAAGAACTCTCAGGCGTGGGCCTCGGAGATGATCGTCCTGCGCGGCACACAACAAAAGTTAGAGGCTTCAAATGTGCACCTGTGGCCTGTCGCGAGGCAGCGCGAGAGGCCCCCGAGCGGGAGAGAGCTGTGCTTGACCCAAGCGGGGGAGACAAGTAATGTCATGGTTCTGAGCGAATCAAAAGCGGAGGCACACTTCGATGCAAGTGTCAGAGCTTGCCGCCTATTTTCCAAGCGGGAAGCGGTGCTCGAGATGTCTGGCTTACGAAAGCCGAGCTCCAGCGGGCTCACAAGCCCAGCGGGGTCGCCCGTGTACAAATTGGGTCGACCCAAAAGCGGGCGATTCAGTGCCGAAGCTTAGAAGTGGGGGGCAGCGTGGACTTCACTGATGCTGCCATGCCCGTCCAGACCAGTTCCAGGAGCTCCAAGCGGGCGAGTCTTCCCAAGCGGTCTGGCTCTGGCCCCACTCATCTTGGCCGTGGTTCCACTGCGAAGTGGCCTCCTGGCGCTCACGCCCACGAGCGCGTTTGCAGTCTCTGCATAAGTGGTTCACGTGGAAGCTGTTGGATCTGTCGCTGAATGTCGCCTGACAGTGTCCCTGAGCGCATTGGGAACACTGGCGGCGGCATGCCCACAATTGAACCAGCTGCAAAGTGGCCCGGCCTTCGCTATCATAGATAGTGTGTCCCAAGCGGGAAGCTGGGGCGTCACTAGCGAGAAGCGGGGCTATCTCGCGCTGTGGTGTTGAAGCGGGCGGCTGTTGCCCTGTGTTTCCCGAGCTTCCGCCCGTGGTGCCCTCCTCCACAAGCGGCGGTGGCGGGGCCTTGGAAGCGGGAGGGGCGCTGGGCTTAGCCGCCGGGGGCGTAGTGGCCGCCGAAGCGGGTGGAGCGGGCGTAGCCATGCTCTTCGACTTCAGCAGCGGTGCCCCGGCCTTTGGGGTGGTCGACGCCAAAGCGGGCGACGAAGGAGGTCGCGGCGGCGGTTCCTTGACTTCGGGTTCACGTTGCCAGCGTTTGGCGTTCGTGACCCCGTCACCCGTGGCCTCGGCGTTGGCCTCGTCTCCCTGAGCAGCTGAAGTGGCTCCCGTGGGGGCGCGCTCACCACTGGTGGCTGCTTTAGGCTCCGCTGGTGCCTCCAAAGTGGGTGCAGCAGGCGAGGGAGAAGACGTAGAAGCGGCCGGTGTCCCGTAATCTTCGGCAGCGATAAAGTCCCCGATGGGGTCGACCACGGTACTCGAAGCAGGCTGCTCCGAAGGTGCTGCTGCCAAAGCGGGTGCCGGCGTTGTGGAAGGAAGAAGCGGTTCTCCTTCCATTCGCCTCAAAAAGTGGGCCTTCTCATCCTCATTCATGCTTTTGAGGAGGCTGAACACGTAGTCGGGGGACAACTTGGCCATGACCCACGCTGGAAGTAAAGCGGGATTATGTTTCATAAGCTGATCTCGAGCAGGAGCTTATGGAATAACATTTCACAAGCGCGAAAAACAGGCTGTGGCACAAAGTCATGACCCAGAGGTGCAAGATGTATCGTTGTTTTTCTCGGGAGACGCTCAAGCTACCTCCAAAGATGCTATGATGCATGCCCTCCGCTTACATAAGCGGGTGTCAGGCGGAAAATGCACGAAAGCGGAAAATTCTGAGATGCATCCACAAGCGGGGTGGCATCGAACCTGGCAGTGGGCATCCTTGCACGCCAAGCAGGTCATGCGGGAGCCGGGGTGGGAGATGCTGAAGTGTGCCACCCCGGATGCTCCTAGCAGATACCGCACCTCCCTGCAGTTTGTGCGGGAAGTTTGCAAAGAGGGAGCTTCAAGCGGCTGCTCCTCATGTGACACACTAAGCCCCTCGCTCGTTTCATCTTGCCATGTGGGGTCGACCTCCAAAGTGGATGCGACCATCGCTGAAGAGCGAGCCGGGCCTGGATCATCAGCATCTGAGTCCTCGAAGTGGTCGACCTGCGCCCGGGCACGAACACAAGAGGGAAGTTTGGGGCCTGACCGTGTAATCGTCGAGCATGACTCTCGGGCTTCGCGAAGTTCGCCGTCCTGTTGTTCCAGGGCAAGGAATGATTGGAAATCACTGCCAAGCGAGAAACATGTAAGGTCCGGGATGAAAGCGTCCCATTGGAACCCCGCCGTCTCGAAGAGGGGCTCGGCAAGCGGTGATTGTCCACCTCGGTGTTGCGGCCTGGCAGGACGGAAGCCGGAGTGGATCGACCGCCACAAAAGAAGCTGCGCTCTCAGTGCTGGCCATACGTCGTCCCGTGAATAAAGCTGGGCAGAGCCAGGGGTTTTATGATGTCCCTGGAGAAAGCGGAACGCCATTGGGATAGAAAGCTGAGACACCCACGAAAGGAAGGTCGTCTTCAAGCTGTGAAGCGTATATTGAGAAGCTTGGTGCGGCTCTATCCCTGAAAGCGTCAGCCAGTGGCGCAACTTCTGAAGGGCCTGTGAATAAGTGGCCGGAGCAAAGCCTACATCACTTAAGAGGAAAAACATGCAGTCTGGCTCCGGCTGGGCCCCAAAGCGGGAGCGGAGGTCGGACCAAACCTTGTCCAATGCTCCCAGCCAGCGGGGGAGCCAAGTCAGCCCCCATTCCTCAGCGGACGAAAAGGGGCCGAAGCTGAGAAGACCAAAGGGGCATCCGCCTTTGGTGGTCTTGGTTCTGTAGCATATTCCCCGTAAAGTGAAGTGGCTCACACAAAGTGAGCTCCAGCGGACGTGCTGGGCGTCCGCGAAGCGGAGGCTCGCGCCGATTGCCACCAAGAACGACCCCGCCCAGATGTTGTCCATCAAGCTGGCTGTGCCTGAAAGCAGTGTGCGCTCAAGGAAGGCCACAAAAGAAAGCGGCAGTGGTATGCTCTCTCGTTTCTCCTGGCCAGACGGATTGGAGAGGAGACTGAAAGCTGTGCCGTACAGGTCTGGGAGGCATGAAAGTGAAAGAACCCAATAGACCCGGTTAGACAGATTCCTTCGATTTAGATAGATGCTTGCGGTGGCGCACAGATTAACCTTATTCGTGTTTGCCGACGACAACAAAAGTTGACGAAGCTTCGACAAATAGTTGTCTAAACTACGAAACTATTTCGTCAGATCGTGTGGTCCAAATCTATAGATTTCTACGATTTCGACTGTTCAGGTCGGCGCACATGCGCAGGAAGTTTAGTGGAAATTTCAACTAAACTGCTTCGGGAGGCCCGGGCGAGACCCTAGCAGTTTGGAGGGCTGAGCGAAGCAGTTTGGTGGCAGTTTGCTGTGCTCTTTGACTGACGATGTATATGCAAATCTGCGTATATACTGAAAAATGTGCCATCAAAACCACAAAACAGGTGTAGCAGTTTCAGCCGTTGAGTGAAGCAGTTTGATAGCAGTTTGGGCCGCCGCCGACTTAACTATTTCGGCAAATCTTGCCGAAATAGTCAAAACGAGCTTTGTCGAAATCGGCAAATCTTGACGAAATCGTCAAAACGATTTTAATCTAATTCGTGCCACCGATTCGTCTAATTTGCGTTTCAGGATTAAACTATTTTCGGCAAAACAAGTTGCCGAAACACTTTGACGAAATCGTAGAAATATATAGATTTACAAGGACCGAAGAGACGGCAATTTTTTGTCTAACCGGGTCTATTGGGAAGCTTCTTGTACCAGCGCAGCGCCTTGAGCACATTGATGCTGTTGGAAAGGGGGCCTGGTTCGGAGCCTCGAGATAAAGCGAAGAAAGCATCAAGGAAGAGACCTTGGTCGATGGACTCCATGTTGCCACCCAGCTCCTCAAAGGCACAAAAGAAAAGCTGGACTGAGCGAAGGTAGCGGGCCGCCGTGGTGTCACTGACCTTGCTGAGCAGCCGAGACTTGATCACTGCGCCCTCGCGACTCCCTGAAAGCTGTTGCAGCACCTCGCTGTAGGCACCATGCGATGCACAAAGCTGGTCGAAAAGTACCTTGTTGCGCTCATCGCACGCCTGATGATTATCCTTGCTGGTGACCAAGCCGGCGACCGGCTCACGAAAGGCAGGCGGGTGTAACTCTGAAGGTGCTCGCAAAGCTGTTGTTGAGGGCTGAACTGGTCTCGGCGTTGCAAGGGAAAGCGATACCTGAACAGGAGAGGGCTGCTGCATGGGGTAGACCGCATAAGCCGAAGCGTCCTGAAAGTGCGGCAGTGCCTTCGCCGTCGGGAAGATCTGGGATGTAGACTGCTGAACAGGCACGGCTTTAGGGGCTTGCAGCGGAGTGGGGAAGGGAGCGCAGGGGCGGAGCCGAGCAACTGTAGGCTGGCGCCCGTTGTGCCCCACCTGAAAAGGGGAATTGTATCGCAAGCACACCCTGGGAGCCCGCCAAGTGGGTGCCTTCGGAGTAGCAGTCAAGCTGGGTCTAGGAGGGGTGGATCGCAATGGCATAAGCAGACATGTCGAAGTTTCTGAAGGCCACCCATGAAAAGATGCATTCTCGGGCACCGGCTGATCCTGCGGTACAAGCTGCCACGATTGTTCTCCGCTGGAAGCACCTGGGGAGTTTTCCATAGGCAAGGGAAGGGTGGCTGGGGCACATTGTGCTTGATGCATCCAGCGGCGGCGAAGTTTACTCCTGGGCTCAGGAGCTACCTCTGCATCTGATTCAGCAACCTCGAAAGTGGGTGCCGAAGCTGAGGGTACCTGAGTAGGGTCCTCCGGGTCCGCAAAATCAGCAAAGCGATTACGAAAAGAGGCCCTGAGTTCCAAAGCGTCAGCATCAGTGCAGAAAGGCGAAGAATCGGCCAAAAGTATATCCGTAGCCACCCTGCTAGACGGCAAAGCAGGTGCATCACCACCGACCATGACAGAAGAGGCCATGCTTAGAACCAGATCCGAAGACGGGCAACAGTCTCAGAAAGTGTGTCACGAAGCAGGGTAACCAGGGCTCGCAACCTGATAGAAAGCTTCTGTGTGACCTCCTCCAGGGAAGTGGCCCTGTCTGCTAGGTGCAGGAGCCAGTTGCGGCCTTGGTGCACCTGAGCCTCCAGCCGGTTGACCCTGCAGTGCAAGCGGGAAATTTCCGCTCGCTGAGCAGCCCCCGCAGCCTCCAAGTCAATAAGCCGATCGATCAGTGATCTGACCTCTGTAGTCAGTTGTAGCTGCAGCTGAGGGCGAGAAGCGGCCGGCCGGCTGTCCATGCACAGGGCTGGCTAGACGCACTTAGCTTAAAGCTGCTGAAAAGTAGTCCTGACAGCTAGAAACATGGTCAAAAGCAGAGCTGAAAAGTGGAAAGCTGAAGCTAAAGTTTTTGAAAGCAAGCTGTTGTTGCGTGGTGTATGCTTGAACCCAAGCGGGGGCAGCGGGGATGAGTAAGTCCGAAACAACCCTGAGTAAACACAGGAACCGAACGAAGTGGTGGCGGGGCGGGGATGGGTTTTCCTGCCTCATCGTAGATGGGGATGTCCCGCGCGCGGCTAGAAGTGCCACACGGTGGGGCTGCGACAACAGCCGACAACAGCGGATTGCACAGCCAAAACATGGCCAAATCCTGGCCATCCTGAGTGGTAAGATCAGCGATCAAGGGGGCACATGCCGCAGATTCAATGTGCTTGTGGTCGATGCCGTGGGCCGTGACTCCCAGGCGGCGGAGGCATGCAGTGACCCGAGCCGTGCCGGCAAAGAGCTCAAAAACCACTGGGGTAGCCGGCGCTGTGAAAGTGGGACGTGGAATCGGCACCATGGTTCCTGGTCGAAGGACATCACCTGTGGCCAGGTCGGGGGGACTAAACCCTAGGGAGACCAATGCTGAATGATCAGCTTCAGAAAGAGCCGCGAAATCGCGGATTACAAACCCGGCTAAGACTACCCGGTAACCATCCCAAGGCATGGTGGCATGCCGCTGGTGGGCGTCGAAAGTGACGCATGTATTAGATATCGGCAAAAGCTCGCCGCGCAAATGCGCATGGGGCAGCGGCCCAGCATGCTTACCGGAATCACTCTCGAGCCACAGCTGGCCCTGCTTGAAAGTGGACACACCGATTAAGAAATTTGGGAATCCTTTGGCGTTATTACGGTCTGCGTGCAGCGGTGTGAGCATCTGAGCCATCAAAGCCAAAGAAGTGAACGGCAACTCGTGTCCCCAACTTTTAGTATAGGCGGCAAGCATCCGACACACCGTCGGGAATTCATGACAAGTGCGGCGCAGCCCCAACATAGGGCCTTGGACATAAGCACCGACGCTAAAGGAAAAAGTGGATGGATAGGTGATCCCAGGATTGGCTCTGGCGGGGACTTCTGAAGGCAACAAGCTTATGAGCTGTATTATGTCGTCAGAAGTAATTCTAGATTTGCTGAGGCAGGCAGCCGCAAAGGCCTCAGCGGTGGCATGCACTTGATCCTGTTGTGCACTGAGGTCTCCTGTCAAGGTAGCTGCAGCTGAACAGTCATGGACGTGCTCAGCAGGATCGGTGGTCGAGACAGGATCGGTTCAAGCTCCACCCGCGGCCGGACATTGGCCGATAGGGTGAGCTCCCTCGCACTTAGCACACACGTGGGCCCTGCTGCAGTTGGGATGTGTGCATCCCTCCAGGTTGTATGCAAACCAGATGCGCTGACCCTGCTTCGTCATGGGCTTGGCTCCCTTCTGCCGCAAAACCAAGGGCATGGGGATATTATGGGCATCCTGAGCGCCCTTACCTTTTCCGGTTTTGCCTTTGCCGGGCTGTTTGCCCTTACCGGAACCCTTACCCCCTTTGGCACCCTCATGATTACGCCACTTGTTCGCCTGATCACCGTTGCCTGTGTTCTTGCGTTTGAAGCCTGCAGGCAAGGGCACAAGCAAGGAGGACACGGCATAGGATTCAAGAGCGATGTGAAGCGCGCGGTCCATATCAAAACTTCCATCCGCGTTGGCTCGTGGCCTTTTGCTCTCCTCAAGCATGTGCACCCATACGGCCTTGTCAGCTTGAATCAACTGCTCAATGCCGACACGCTGATGATTGGCCGGGGCGGGCCGGCGAAAATGCATCATAAGCTTGGCCAGGTAGCCTTCGTATGCGCCGAGGCTGACGCAATTGGCCATGACATAAGCATAACCTCTGCGCTTAAAACCCTCAAGCAATGCCAACGCGCCGTGAACTGGCTGATCTGTGGTTTCAACATGCTCGCGTAATGCAATCTTCCCCGCCTCCACTTCAAGAACTTTTGACGGCTTGTGGTGATTCAAAAGCTCATGCTGGCGGGAAACACATTTTTCAATTGGTATATGCTTGAAGACATTCTCGCGGTGTTGCTCACAGGTCAAGTCTAATAACGAATGTCCAGGCTCCATAGTCGAGTCTATGTGCAATCCAGGATTAGCAGCCTTAAACATGGTCAAGCGCTGGGACTTCTCGGCTTCGGGTAGCTTCTGCTTAGTGGTATTGTCCGGATCCAAGATTGACTGACGGAGTGCACTGAGCTGAAGAGTTTGCGACTCGAACAACAGACGCTTGAATGCGGCCACATCGCCCAGGGACAGTCCCGGGAGATGCGATTCCAGCCACTCCTTTAAGACCTCTTCAGACAAGTCTTGACCTGGGATGCCTACAAGATGTGCAGTGGTCCCTAGCGTCTTAACGCCAAGACCCTCAAGCTTGCCCACCGTTGGCTGACTCAAGTTGATCTCCTTGCATCGACGTTGAAAGTGGGCCTCAGAATCAAGGATGGCAGTCATTGCATATGAACTTGGACGTAGTCGATTGTGTTACAATGTTCCTAACTGCACCGCACGGGTCTTTGGCCTGTTGTGACCAGCTCACTACACCAACTTGTCAGGACTTCAAAAGGGACCTAGACTGCTCCACATGTTGCTGTTGGCATGTTGTGTTCTCGTTACATCACCTCCAACATGTCATGACTCTCAGCCGGGACTGCGCGGGTGTTCAGCACTGATACGCCACATGTTCATCCTAGGTCGTGCTCACAGACACTTGAAAACCCTCACTGGTCACTGCACTTCCGATTGAATGTACGGCACAGACACCGTAAGCTGCTCTCCTTTTGTGCCCTCGCACGCGTCCCCTTGGACTGGCCTTTAAAGGCCGGCAGCTACCCGTCTACAGTTGTGACATGTGCCACTGACCTGCCCAAAACTCTTTGGGACGACATAATTGGATGTCCCAACTTTACCACACGCCAAAATGGCATTTCCTCCCCCCGACCGCGCAATCACATAATGACATTTCTTGGACTTCACATGCACAAGCGAGTCCTTCAAGCCCCATGGCCAGTCCTGCTTCTGGACCTTTGGAGCGGGTTGCTCGTCCTCGGACGATGTGCCTGAACTCTCGCCACTCTCGCTGTCAGATGAGGAGCTGGAATCCGAACTGATGTCCACAACTTCACACTGTCCCGGGACCTCGTCACGAGCATCAGGCTCCGCCTTAACCGCCTCCTCTGACGGCTGAGAAGGGGTAACGAAGTACTCTGCACGGGAGTTATCTGGTTTGAAGCGTCCCGACGAGATGTCTCGAAGTACCTGCTCGAACTCCTTCACTGCCGATGTGGCCAAGTCAACGGCATAGATCGCCTGCGATCCGGTCGTGGCTGATGAATGCCTGCCCAAAACTGATCTTACTGGTTCGCTTATGCCGTGCTTGGAGCACCAGGCGAGTGGAGTGCGCTTGAGCGAATGTGAAGAAATGCGCTTCAGGCGCTCATCATCGCACACTGGACCCAGGGCAATCCTCAAGAAGGATGTAATCTCTGACGCTCTGATCTCACGCCTGGCCAGCGTGTCACCATCTGAGGACAGAGGGGCTTTCAGTAGTGGACCCTCAACTTTGCCTTCAACAGCCATACCTACCGATCTGAGGGCATCGAGAGCCACCGACACCCATTGGGTGCCAGTGACACCCATCGCCGGGATCAGCACAGGGAGAAGCTTCTTAGATCGCGCCGTGACGTTGTTGGTTTTGTGCATTCCGAGATACAAGACCACATAGCCCGAAGAATCAGTGAACTCATGTTCAATCCACTGAATGTCCGAAAGATCGCTGTTCCTACATCTGCCATACAGTGCAAAGAGACATCTGGCCGACATGGCTCGATCGAAGCTGTGGGTTCCCCTGTCCTCCATCATGGTGTGCAATCGGCATGTTTCGCCCACTGTCAACGCTTCGGCTTGGCGCAACCATTGAACTCCGACTGACATTTGCTCGGCAATCCCGCACACTCGCCTGCTCTGCAGGACGTCGTCCAAATGGAAACCAAGCACATGGTGAAGGAAGCGCATTGCACTAAGAACCCCAGCTCCCTTGGAAGCAGCTGCACCCGCCTTTTTGAGATCGGTCATATATGCCCACAGTGATGCCTCTGATAGGCAGTCCGGCTCTGCAGCAGGGCCATTGAAGTACCACCTGAGAAATGCGTTGAAGGCGTTCGCACGTTTGTCTATTGTCCAAGGGGAGCGAGTACCGACAGCAGCCATCACTGACTCTGGATCGACCTTGCCGCTGCGCAGCAATGTGTGAGGGACTGAGTTCTGGGGCACAAGCCGCAGGCACGCCACTAACTTACTTAAACTGATCTCTAGAACCTCAGCACGTCTCTCGCGAAAAGAAAGGTTCGTGGTGGCTTTGATGGCTACCGCAAAGATCGGCTTGCCTTGAAGATACACCTTGGCACTCACAGACACACAGGTTGTCACCTGATGGGCTGGCTCCTGAGGCACAAGGAGCTTCTTAGCGATCAATGGCATTCTGGGGACAGACGGCAGCGATGGAAGAGACTCGCTGAACACAGCTCGCATGGGACCGCGCTCCCACGGAAACTTCAGCTTACTCAAGGAGGGATTCGAGACCAACTCAGTCGACACCACGGCAGCCACATCAACAAGCGGCGTTAGTTCGGGCTCCTGAAGACTGACAGCAAGATTCCTGGTTACAGGAGGTGCGTCCAGGCTAGCATCCGAGCCCACCGGTCGCCAAGAGGAGCTGGAGCCGGCAGCAAGCTGCTCTAGATGTTTATCGAACTCACTCAGCAATCCATCCTCATCTTCGGCTACCTCCCTGTAATGTTGCCACTCTGCTGAAGGGTCACACCCTTCCTGTTCGCACCAACCATCCGGATCCAAAGCTGGGGATGGAGCCACGTCCAGAGGCTCGGGTGGTATTGCAAGGTCTGAACCACTAGGGAATTGCAGGTCTACACCGCTAGGGACCGAAGAGGGTATTGGTGGAAAGGCCGGCCGAGGCTCAGATAACCCTGTACTGTCAAGGACACTTGGCATTGGCTCACCGGCAAGCCCATCTAGATCCCCCTTATTAACCGAAGAATGCAGAAGCAGCCGCGCAGCGGAGGCCTCTGGTGCGGGGTGAGGCTGCTCAGCGACGGGCGGTGTCGGTGCGGCCGAGAAGGCCGCAGGGGCCTCACATGAGGGTGCATGCTCGTTGGGAGGGCTCGACATGAGCGGGCGTAGCTGCTGCGAAGCCTCGGGTGATGGTATTATGCAAGATGATGGAATGCAGTTCTTTGTTGACAAAATCAGAGACCTGCAACCAAGAGGTTCGCTCAGCGGGGCCAACGAAGGCCCAGATGCACAAAACTACGTTGTATTCCTGGCACAGACACTCGAAATCCGGAGGCACAACGACGCTCAAATTGGAGAAGGAACTGGACTGGCTGCCGACACCCTGCAAGGAAGTTGGCTGCAAGCGGAACTCTAGTGCTGCAACCCGCAGTTCAAGAGCCGACAGCTGGTCTGCCCAGCTTTCCTGAAGCCTGAGTATCTCAGAGCTATGCACAAATGACGACCCGGCACTGGTTGCCGCGCTCATGCACCTCACTGTTGGGGGCACCCGCCCCCCCCCCCCCCGGTCGCAGGAGAGAGCTACAACTTAGATCTGAATGTGAAGACTGGAAGTCATGAGAATGTTCTGTGTGAGTAGGAATGCAAAACAAAAATTTCTGCCCATGTCTGCCCATGTTGACATGCTGCCTTCACTTGCTCCCTTGAGCACACACTCACGGCGGGAGCATATCATAGGTCATGCACTCAAGGAATGCTTGCAAGAGAAAATCACTTTCGAAGTTTTCTTTCTAACTCAATCGGAAGAAGTAAAACTAACCCAGTTTTACAAACAACACGAAAATTAAAGCGCTATCAACCCGTTGACCGCTAGCGGACTGAGCGTCCTTGTCTGTGTTGAGTTTGATCATTCTCGCTTCCAATTCCATCAACAGGGCTCCCATCAGGGCCTGACGTAGTCCGCAATCGCACTTCCCTGCTGCGCGGGATTTTCGCCACGTCTGTGTGGTTTGGACCAGTTGATGTGTTATCCCCAGGTCCCCACTGTCCATGAACATAATCCAGGATCTGTCGGCTTCCAGAAGCTGTAGGGCCGTTTCGTGGCGGGCCATGATCTTCGCTAGGGCCAGTATTTGCATACTTGGGGGTGGCGGAGCTAGAGGGGCCGTCCTCGTCTCCCTTTCGCGAGCTCGCTTCTGCTCTGGTCGTCCCCCCCCTTTGCCATTCAGTCTCTGTGCCTTGGCTCTGGGCGTGCTGAGCAGCTCCTCGTCCTCGAAGGGATCTTCTCCCAGATCCATCTTTTCCATGGGGGAGTTGAAGCCCCACACTGCCGCGATCTGGGCAAGGGCTTGGTTTTCTGCCATGGCACTGCAGGACCCGGAGTTGGAGGAGCGGGAGGCATCTACCTGCGTGAACCTTCGGAGTTTTGGTATAGGTGTCTCTACAGAATTTGCAGGGTCTGGAAAGTGCTGTAGCTTGGAGCTCAGCGCTGACGCGGTCCTGCAGCTGAGGAGCACGCCATATGTCTTGGTGTTCTTTGGCCATGTGGCGCCTCCAGTCTTGCTGATTGGTGACTACAGTGGCACAAAAGCAGCAGTGTCGTTCAAGAAACTGCATGAATGGCCTGTCGGCGTCCCCTGGGGGGGCCGCTGTGTCCTGAAGTGGGCTTTGGACTTGGGCAGTAGTAAATTGTTGAGGTGAAATGTTGGATTTTGTGGGTGCTTCTGGCTTTCCTGCCTGATACCAGGCAGTGGCGAGTGCAACCTGGAAGATGACAACACAGCTGCGAACGTGCCTGTCAGCAGAGTAAACCCTGTGATGACAAAGCTCACAGTCATGGTCTCTGTGGATAAGGTCCCTGTAGTCCTCACATTTTTGTGTGAAACATGCGAGACTGGCATCCCAGATCTCCGGGTGCATTCTCTTAATGTGTTCTTTGACGGATCCCTGTTTGGCTATCCACTGTCCACAGAATCCGCAGTGCGCGTGCAAAAGCGGTGCTCACTCGGAGATTCTGTGTAGTGGAACGGGGGGCTTCACGAGAAGGGCCTCCGCCCCCGGTGTTCGCAGAATAGGGAGGTCGACTTGGTTGTCAGGGTCAGGTGGCTCAGGTACCGGGTCCGCAGCGACACCGTCCTGAGTTGGACGATAAAGTATCGTGTCCTGTGTGCCGGGGGGTTCCGTGGGTTGTCTGGGAGAAGGGGCCGGTGACGGCTCCCTGTCCGGTTCCCGCGTGTGATCAGGCGCGACTTCTTCTGCGGGTTTAGCACGGCAGGCGTAAGTAAGAATGTGTTGTTTAAACGCGCCCCAAGATTGTAGTTGTTTGTTGCAGTATCTGCACTGAGGCATGCCCTGTATGCAGTGCTCGTGTTGCTTGTAGGTCCTCTCCTCTTCCGCATCAATGCCAACTTTTTGTTTGTGCTTTTGGGCAAGGTGCTGGCGCAGAGTCTTAGTGGACGGAAAGTAGAGACCGCACTCCGGGCATGGCAGACCTTTCGTGGTGGGTTCCGCCGGGATGATAGCTTGTGAAGGCAATGCAGCAGTAGTAACCTGCTGAAATGCCGTGGCCGCGTCCTGCCAATACTGCATGATGTCGGTGGTGTTTGTGATATCCGCAGGCTTTTGCTGCAGTGTCTCAATTTTTCTTTGTATGGCTTGATGAAGGGAATCCAGGGGGTCGCTTAGGTGGAGCCTGGCACAGAGAGCCGAATTGCTTTCGTGGGTAAGGTGGGCTGGGGAGTTTGCCACTGCACGTAGCTGTCTATAGAACCAGTTGCGCAGGCGGGTAGCCGCGGCATAGGTCATTCCAACCGGGAGCAGTCCATACGTCGCGCTCGAGGCCGCGCAGGCGGTCCATATTCGAAGGCGATGGGCCAAGCTAAATACCTTGCGAGCACGGGTGGCTCTGTGCAGTTTGGCCTCTCTGCCTTTTGCTTCGTTGATGCGGTGACGCGTGTTGGGAAGGGCACAATCGCCCAGTTCAAGATGAGTTCCGAGGTAAACCACTGATTTGGCCAATGGAATGTATGCGGGGCCGGTTTCGGTCTCCACCCGCCAGTGTTGTTTACCGTCTTTTCTGACAATGTACTGTTTGAGCGCCCTCTTGGCGCCGGGGCCCCGAATTTTGAGGAGCAGCGCCGTCTTGGTGAGGTTCACATGGAGGCCCAGTTCTGCCATAACCTTGAGCACTTGCGCTAGAAGCTTGGCTAGCTGGTGGACGTCGTTGACACTTTCGATTAGCCATTGGCACAGGGTATCATCAGCGAATGTAGTTCCCTGGTGCTCGGGGCCCGAAAGGGCATCCCGGAGATTGTGCAGAATCGTGGTGGATATCGCCACCCAGAGAAGGGGCGCAATGCGACATCCCTGACGAATACCACGAGTAGTGTCAACCGAGGTTTCGTGGAAGTCGTCTTGGAGGTGATACGACGACGTATCATGTAGAGCTATGACCGCAGCGATGAGGTCAGCTGGAGCACCCAGTCGTTTGAGGGAGGAGGCCAGTGCCGTCCTCTCAACCCTGTCGAAGGCTTGTTTGAGATCCAGACTAAGGATAGCTCCTCCCACGCAGAGGTCTTTCTGGGTGTCGTCCTCTTCGCGAGCTTTGAGGGCAAATCTGCCGGTACCAGCTCTGCTTAGAGTGGTCCGGAAGAGACTCATCCAGGAGTGCACTCTGGAGGGGACCAACGCAAAGTTTACCAGGTCGTTAAGCAACTGGCGCCCTGGGCCCCGCGTAATAGGGTAATGCTCAAAGACGATCAAGGCACGCTGCTCACCCAAAAACAGGAACACGATGCATGTTAGCTATAGCAAGGGGCTTTTTGCCCCCCCACAGGAACAACCCAGGCGAGAGGATGAGGTCCTCCCTCTTATCTTCACACTGGAAGAGGTCTATGGACAACTCAAAATTACCAGCGTGGGCAAAGCGGTCCCCCCAGGGGTTGCACCGACTGCTGCGTGGAGGGTTGGCGCAGCATCCATCGCCCCCTTGCTAAGATTTACCATGGCAACGTACGCCCAAGCCAATGTCACCCTTCCCTCCAGGTGGACTGATGCTTGGATCATCTGGCTGCCAAAGCCAGGGAAGGCGCCGTCACAACCATCGGCCCTATAAGACCCATAGGACTGATGAGCCCAGAGGCCAAAGTCCTGGCGGCCCTCATCAAAGAGCAAGAGCGAGAGTGTGGCCTGTCTTTTGTCCGCATAACATTTCTGCTGAGCCTTTTTTGCCGCCAGGCGGTAGCGGATCGTTGCCTTCCAGGCGGCGAAGAGCCTACCACTTCTGTTTGCCTGTACCGGGGTGTACCGTGCAGCTTTGCGCAGCTGCCAGAGATGAAGAATGGTAGGGTTCGAAACATGCGGGGACTGAGCAGTAGGGGGGAAAACATGACAGCAAGCTTGCATTATGGCATGATTAAGGTGAGGGGAGTCCTGTGGCAGGAGCTCAACCCTGTTCTTGATTTCAAGTTTCAACTGTTGCGCCTGTGCTGTTCCATGTCGAACAGCTTCGTCCAGCGCTTTTTTGTTGTACGCCGGTTGCGCAGGACGTCGAGCGGGAAGCAGATGATGATTCATAATGCGGATGTCCGTTGCCAGGCTGTAGTGGCCTATGTGAAGACGCCACGTTCCAATCGGCGGCTTCGCCACCTTAACATACTTGGCGCGTGGGTCCGCCGTGATTGTTCGTGTCATGATGTAGTCGATTTGGCTCGTACCCACCTGGTTTTGGGGAGCCTGATTGAACTGAGTAGGTTTGGCAACGCCATGCCAGGTGCTGCGAGCTACTAGCCCGTTGGTTTCCATGAATATTCCCAATGCGGCTGGGTCCAGGGCGTCCGGGCCTACGTGAAAGGGAGTATTGCATGTGGAGCCCCACATGGGGGGGAGAAGGTCGAACCTCCGCCTGGAAGTCTCCAGCCACTATGAGTGTGGCCCGGAGGGGAATACCCGTGATGGATCTTGTGACCTTGTTCAGGAAAGCATGTCGTTTCTCTCTCAGGGAATCCGGGGAGCTAGTATAGTTGTGAGGGTGCTGGTAGCAGTTGTAGATTTCGATACGTCCCTGTGTTGTTTGAAGTTGCACTCTGAGCGCCCTGCCAGGTACAATCTCCTCATGCCTCACCACGTGCTTGTTGTGTCGCGGGTGGACAAGTGTGAGAACTCCGTCAGCTCGGGCCGTGGTGCCCGAGTGAACTGCACGCCATCCCTGAACAACGAACTCTGAGGTCGTGGACCAGTGTGCTTCCTGGAGGCAAATTATGTCAGCCTGAGCCTTTGCCAAGTACTCCTTTAACTCGGACCATAGCAACGTCGAGAGGGAGCCAACATTAAGGGACAGGATGCTGAGTCTCTCAATATTCCGTTGGCCTGCTCGTTGCTTCCTGGCGGTCTGGGGCTCGGTGGTCTGTCTCCCGGTTTGGCGGATGACAACGTCGGGGAGCTGGGGGGCCGTAATGCGGCGCCCTTTGTACCACGTGAAACCCTGGGCTTGTGCTCTGTGTTTGGCTCTGCGTATGGCTCTCTTTGATCCGGGTAATCTTGTTGGCCCCCTGTCTTCTCCAGTCGTGGCCGCCTGTGCTGGTTTCAGCGTAATAAGGAGGAGAAGCAGGGCATAGCGTAGAATACCCCGATGAAACAGTAGGTGCATAGGGGACCCCCTGGGTCAACCCTTCTCCTGGGGTACGGAGACCATCAGGTCGTGGTGTCTGCTGACTTTGTTTCGCAGCAATCCGGTGATTGGACGCGCCGCCCACCGTCTTCCCACCATGGGAAGTGCACGTTTTCAGAACGTGATGTGGTCTTCCCTTTGTGGGGGGCCCAGAGGGAACCCTCACCTCCCTCTCCCGATTAGAACTGCCCTGGTGTGGCTGGGCCTGGATGGGAGAGTCGTCGGACTTGGGACCGACGCGGCTCAGGAATTGACGAAGTTTCCTGGTGTTGTTGGGGGTTTGGGGTCGCCGTTTGTACTTACCTTGGCATTGTCTGGTGTGTCGCCAAGGAAGGGTGATGCAACGTCTCATTAGCCTTTTGCAGTGACGGTAGCAGTAGAGAAAAGTAAGTAGAAGCAACATGTATGTCATCTTGCTGATGCTCAACTGCACTTGCAGGTAGCCTGCCTCGTAGCCTGGGGCTCCTCCCCGGGTGACAGGCTGTTGTACCTCTCGGGTTGCAATCATGACCAGCCCTTGTCTGGATTGAGCATGCCTGCTGCAGTGTTGGTGGCTCTCTTGACAGTATGCAGAATACGCCTCCATGTTTTTCGGGCTCCGCTTGCAGGCGCACTCAGAGTGATGTTTGAAGCACCCTGCACATCGAAGACCGGATCGGACCAGCATCTTGGCCGCCTCTCGACGGCGCCCCATCAGGGGGGGCCGAGGACCAGTGGAGACCAATGTCGTCCTCCATGCGGAAGTCCGAGGGTAGCTCCATTGGGAGAGTGGCTTGATCCATTTCGGGACGAAGGTTCGTCCCCATTGGGGCTGCTCCCTGCTGACCCTCTTGCATCGCAGCTGAGCTGCTTGAAGGTGCAGTCGGTCTTGAAGAGCTAGAGGCGGCCAGGGCATGCTCCCTTTGTGCCGCTCCCTGACTTGGTTGTGCCGTTCTGCGGGGCCGATTTCGCGGCTGCTCCTGCAGGGGGGGGTGTGCCGCCCTCGTCATGATTCCATGTATGGGGGTCCCCGGGTTGATCGGCCGGTAGGGTGGATCTATGGGAGGGCCGGTTGCGGCAGCCTCGGGTGGTGTCCACTCCATGATGTCGTCACTATCGCAATCCGCATCCGGAAATTCCTGTTCAAGCTGTGCCCAAAACTCAATATCTGAGTCGGAGGACATGCGGCTTCGGCCTGTGCTAGCTGAGAGGGGCCCAGGTGATGGAGGGGGCTCATTCCCCTGTTGATCCATAACAGGTAGCAGGTACAACTGTGAGAGCAGGATGTGAGCACTGGTGCATAACGACTTCAGATTCGATCCAGCCTGTGCGGTGGTCACGAGAGTGTACTGCTCGTCGGAGTCCTGCCAGGGCTGTGCTAGCTGAGCTATGAGCAAGCAAGGCGCCTCTACAAGACTGCTGAGAGTGGATGAGAGCACGCACGCACTTGCTTGGTGTTCGAATTGTCCGGGGCCGTTTGTTGGCCAGCCTGTCCTAAATGTGGCCGTAGGTAGGCCTGTAGCACCACTGATGGGAGGGGCGGGGAGCCGTCCGAGGACTCAACCCGTTCCCCACTTTCACGAATCGTCACTGCCTGAATAAATTTCGGGGCAATGGGATCTGACGTGAGGTAGTACCCGTTCTGGGAGCGGTAGTAGACACTTTCAGTGGCCGAGCTCGGCATCACGTGCAGCACAATGTCAGTGCGTGTGGGAAAGTACTTCTCGCTTCCCTTCTCGTCGGGCAATAGGTGCAGCTGCTGTCTCCAGGAGGGGGTGGAGTCCTTCATTGAAAATCTTCTTGTAGAACTCGTAGTGCGTGGCGTGTAGGAGGAAGGGGACCGCTTTGGGGTCGACCCTGACATGGACAGCCTCCGGGTCCACTTCTCGGCTGTGGCCCTGCACCGCTCCCGCAACAATGCGGGAGGCGCCGTTCTCGCGGGCATACAAGATGCGAAACCGTTGTTTTTTGTTCCAGTAGTTCACTGCCAATAATTCCTCCATCGTCGCCCCTACTTGGGCGAATATATCCAACCTGGTGATTGACTCCAACGATGCCGTAGCATTCTTGTGGAAGGTCAAGCCGAACTCACCCTTGTCGTGCCGTAAGACTTTACTCAACCGCTTCGACAGTGTCTCGTCCCTTTTGTGGTTGAGCCTTGTCGGCGGGAATGCGAAGGAGTACGGGGTGAAGGTGGGGGCCTGCTCCAGGCGACCCGACGGCTCCTCGGTCAGTGTGCTGTGGGCACTCGTGTGGGCCGATCCTGTTTCGGGGACCGGTGTTTCCGGCACCTCCTCATAGATGCCAAGGGCTGCCAGGCTTGCGGGATCGGTCTCATCCTTGACATAGCCCTGTCGGGCGTCGTCCTGAGCCGCATCCGCTCTGCCCCAGTACTCATCCTCCTCTTCTTCTTCTTCGTCTTCGTCGTCATCATCATAGTAGTAGTCATCGCCGGTGGTCTGATGATCGGCGTTCTTTGCAGGGGCCGAATGCGGCTCTTCCCTGTCCTGATGCGAGGAGGATGACGGGGCCTCTTGATGGTGCCGGGCACCCGGATAGAAGTGTTGTAGGAGCCGATCCACCTCCGGTTCCGTAATCTTCCAACCCATGATGTCATGCATCTGGCTGGGGATCTCACTTAAGAGATCGACCCATGTGTCCATGGATTCAACGATCCAGGTATACATGGCTCTGAATTCGGGGTCCTCTTCAGCATGGACTGTCCCGACCCAGCCCTCGATGGCTGCTCCGTAGGACCCCTCTTTTGAGGTCTCCGGGTTCCCGTAGAGCTCTCCACAGAGCAAGTGGGCAAAGCTTGCCCAGTTCCAGTTCCCATAAGCAGGCAATTTCACTTCTTTGTGAAAAGAGTCGTGCTTCTTTGTGTGGTGGCCTCGGCCGAAGAAGGATTCCATGTGTTCCGTAGCCCCGTTCTGTCTCAGCTTCCTGAGATTGCCCCGAAGCAGCTGCCAGCGCTCCTCTTGTCTGGCTGTTTGAGCCTTTGACTGGGGCGGGCTACGCGGCAGGGTGGCGGGAAGGCTGCTCTCCGTAGCTGGGGGCCGGTCGTCGGCCTCCCACCTTTGGCCTCGCTTCCGGGGACTGCGAGGAGGGGTCGGTGGACGTCCCTGTGTTCTGGTCTCGCGGCGCTCAACCCTTCGTGAGGGAGCCTCATCTTGTGTATCCCGTGGCCGCTCTACCCTTCTGCGGGGAATCTCGAGTATCTCGGCGCTGCTCTACCCGGCGAGGGGGAGCTTCATCTCTCTCGGTTCGTGGGCGATCGTCTCTTCTGCTATCTTGGCGTCTGTCCTCATTGTAGGAGCGCCAGTTCTCCCACTTCTTCGAGTAGTCAATCCATCCTCCGCCGTTCCAGTCGTCATCCTGGTCGCGGTTTCGGCCTCCAGTGGGCCGTCGGTCTGCTTGGTCCCAGTTCCTATCGCGGCTGCGATCTTGGTCTGGTTCCACCCGCCTGTCGGTTCGCCTTTCCTGCTGGCGCTGGTCTTGTTGGCGAGTGGAGGTCTGATTCGGGGGCCGGTTCTGCGGCTGCTCCCCACGTCCTTTTCCACGATCCGAATTCTTGCCCCTGCCTTTCCCAGGGCCTGTCGTGGGTGCAGGGTCCTTGCCCTTCCCCTTGCCTTTTTGTTGCCTGGCTAGAATCTCACCTGATGATCTTCTGCGGGTTCCATCAGGACGAAATCTTGACCTTGGGAAGCGACGGGGCCTCTCTTCTTCTTCGGGCTCCTGATCGTCATAGTCGTCGTCCCTGCGGTCGTCGCGCTGTTGGCGATGGCCACCCCTCCCTGCTGGCGGCATGGTGCTTGAGTCGGCAACACTTCTGCGGATGCAAGCTGTGGCACTAGCAGTGAGGTTGCGATGGGCAGCAGTACTGGGAGACATCAAACTGGCTGTGGCATCGCTGGCAGGCAGGCTGTCAGGCGGGGTCCTGCATCCTGGGTCGACGGCCTTCCGTAGTAGTGTCCAACCTGAAAGCGAGGCAGGTATTACTCTATGCACAGATGGAAATGGCACTGGGGTGCTGGCACTGAGGCTGGTCTGATCGCAGTAAAGTAAAAGTTCTAGGTCAACCAGCACAAGCACTGCATGAGAACATGTGTGCCGACTGTGTCCTGGTGTCCTTCTGAAGTGCGGCATATGGACAGCGTCTGAGCCGTCCGCTGCAATGACCTAGGAGGGGCCGGTGACGGTCTCCCTTGGGGGTGGCCATGGGCCACATCCCCGCTACTAAGCTGTTTAGTCCAGGCTGCGCAGGTCCAGTACCTGCGGTCCTGAACACGATCCTGAACAGGTTGATTTCTGCTGACACTGCTGGTGTGATTTTTGGGCCACTGCGTTGGCTTGTTCAGCAAGAAGATCTCGCTGGTGCCTGGCAGTTCCTGGGTTGGGAACCGTGTTCCCGAAGGCTCGGGCCAGCTTCGGTGGCACCTCAGATCCTTGAGACGCAACAAAACGTGCACGATGATAATAACAAGAAGGCATCTTATTGTGCGTCGAAAACATGCTAATGTTCCCACTCTCTGATGACGGAGAGCGGGCTGCGGCGCTCGATCCTGCGATTGCAAAGCTTCGGCTCCCTTCCGGGGCCGGTTCCTTCCTGCATTGTTTCTTCTGCGGCGGTTGCAAGTTTGCTGCTGAAGACTCGGCCCCTCCCACCTCATAAACGGGAGGTCGCTGGTCTTGGCTGATTTTGAGTTCCTGGCAAGAGAGCCCAGCTCACGGCAAGGGCTATGATGCTGCATGTCCTTCCATGGCATCGACTAGCGTGGAGTGTACCCTCTGGTGGGGCACAGCTATGTACAAACTACCCCTTCCCAACAAAACACGGTTTGAGCCGGAGGCTTCGACGGAAGGTCCGCCGGGTTACTCTTCGAGGGGACCCGCTCAAGCCACATAAGCGCCTCCATCGAGCTCTCCATCAAGGCCCCAAGGGAGATGAGGCGCATCAGCGAGGCCGAGGGCGAGAATCGCTTCACGAATCCGTAGAGGCAGGCATTGTTGTCGATCCATGCCAGGACCGAGCGACCTTTCAAGAGACCGCGAATCCCGAACAAGGTTATGGCCAGAGCGTAGGCTTCGACCTGGCAAATCACTTGGGCCCCAGCTTCCTTGCCCCAGTGATCCATCAGCGGTCTGCAAACTTCTCCCCCGAAAACCCATCGGGAGCCCGTGTGAGCGTCGACAAGAACCGCGCCCCAGGTTCCTCGCCCCTTCTCGAAGGCTCCATCCGTGTAGAGTACAATCGGCGGCAGGATTGTGGCCGGGCACCGCTTCGGCCGGCACTGCGCAATGACATCCAGTGCTAATGCACACGCTTGTCGAAGTTCGGTCGTGTTTCCTAGGAAAGGTCCTGACAAGGCCCGAGTGAGCATTCGAGAAGTAGGCTTCAGCTCAAAGCCCATAATCAGTCCACCGGCGAAGTTAATCAAGCCATGAAGCGATGCCAGATCGGTTCTCGTCACATCTCCACCCTGGGCCACGGTTCGGAGGAGAGCTGCAATCTTTTCAAGTCGTCCAGCTTTGTTCTCAACCTTGAGAATGCCTCGCCAGATTTCATCAAGGCCCAAAGAGACGCCCAAGGAGACCACTTTGCTGTCAAAAGGCACAAACTTTTTCCCGGACTTCGCGTAGGCCCACCCTAGCAAGTCCAGCAGCCTCATAAGGATTTTGTCAAGTAAGAAAGCAGCCGGGCGGAATTCATAGACAGTGTAGTCGTCGTAAAAATCGGTCGCGATAGCAGCGAACTTGACGACCATGATGTGAAGAATTGCGAGTGCTATCTTATTGAACCCATACACGCTTGCAGCGGCCCCGAAAGGCAGGCTCTGCATGGGTTATGTAAATATTCCCACCTGCCCTGTGGGTCGGGGAAGCCAAGGACAGCGTGCTCCCTCGTGGAGGGATGGATGCTCACCTGGCGATAGGCCTTGCTTAAATCCAGCGTCTTTCCTAGCAGAGCGGGCTGGCGGAGCATCTGAGGATCCCAGGCTCCCTCAAGCACGGTGCCATCAGTCAAGGGGACCCGGACCTTGGAGCGATCCTGCAGCACACGGGACAAGAACCTCAGGAGGCCGACTGCGTAATCCGTATCCTGAAGCTCTAGGAAAGATGAAGAACCAAAGGCCCTGTTCACCGCGGACATTTTGAAATCATCAATTATCCTTATCTTGGCGTCTTCGCCCTGCCTCAACAGAAAGCGAGGCGAGAGCGACCAAGCATCTGTCTTCAAGATGTTGCTAACTTCCTGTTCCGAGTGGTATGGACCCGTGAGGAAACCCGCTGCCAGTTCCTCGGAAGTTTCATCTTTCATCGCCTTGTAATCCTGCTCTGAAGTAAGCCCCTTCATCTTTTGCAATGCGCGTCGCCGCAGGAGAGCCTGGGCTTTGAGCTGATCGGGCTCGAGGTCCATAGGCTTCGGCCTCTTAGCAAACAAGGGTGACTCGGCTTCCTGACCAACCAATGGCACTCCGTCGGTGAGGAGGTCGACCACCGACATGTCGGGAAAACCCGTTTCCTCGAGTAGCTCGCGAAACAAAGCTAGGGCCTTGCCCTTAGTGACTCGCTCCACATCCGGATGCATCTTGGCTCGAAGCTCCTTCTCAGCGGCAGACAGCACCGCCATCCGGTCGTTCAAGGATTTCAGTTCAAGCATCCGCCGCTTGGACACAGCCACGGGACCTTCCGTGAGAATGGCAAAGATGTTGCGGCGCACAGCATCGGGCACGCGAGTGCTATTGTCGGCTGGGCTGGGTAGCCCACTGGCGCGATGCAGGTGCTCCTCCATGGAGAAATACACACCTGCCAGGTCCCCGGCCTTGCCATCTCTTTGCATCCGGACCCTTTTGGAAGGATTTGGCTCATCACTATCCCTCGGCTCATCATTATCCCCCGTACTAGAGCCGCGGCCTTGGGAGAGGATTTTGTAATCAGCTCCACTAGGGACCTGAGAAAGGGGAACCCTAACCCGAAACTCAGGGATTAAGGGCGGCATATAGGTGGGTTGATTGGCCGCTGCAGCTCGAACCTGAGCTCGGAGTTGGCGGCTGTGCAAGAGGTCAACTTTGCTTTCCCGTAATCCCTGGCAGGCAGCCGTGGCGGCACGGCAAAGCTTTTGGCACAACTCAGCCGGCAGCGAGGCGTCACCGAAGCTTTCAGCTGCAGAAGAAGGAACCCAAGGTAGGTGTTTGTGGGACTTATCACAGCAGCGTCTGAGGCCTGGGAAAGCTGAAGAGTCGGCTCGGTGCAAGTGTCAAGCTCCTGATCGGCCAATTCAAAGCGAAGAACCACTGCAGAAAATCCTGATGCCGCCTCCGCTTGACAAAGTAGGCTAGGAGGCTCCAAATCCAGCTCCGGGCTGGACCGATCAGGCTGACGAGAGCCCGAGTTTCGTAAGCTCGGAACAGCAGGTCGACCACGGCTTGCGCCAAGCTGTTGTCGTGCTGCACCAGTGAAGCGGCGCTGGCAGGAAGGCTGTCTCGCCCTAGCAAGTGCGAGGCATCACGAAGGCTCGAACGGCCTCTGGAATCGCGCCCCTGATTGCAAGACTTAAAGAAGGAAATGCCACCAGTCAACCAAAGTGTTGCGATCAAAGTCAAGCACAGCTCGTAGATCATCGGCTGCGGACAGGTCAATCGGCAGTCGAGGGCAGGACTCAGGGGCGCCACGTTTGGCCCAATGGTAAAGCATCCCATCCAGCACGCAGGGCGGCGGCTGACAAGGACCCGGCGGCAGCGAAGCAGTCAGCGAGCAAAGACGGACGACGGACCGAAGAGGGGCCCTGTTTCGACAGGGAGTTGCAGCCCTCAAGGGTCCCGGACGAGTCGGAAGCACCACTGGGCAGACCTGCAGGATCTGGCAGACGGCGATTTGGTCTCTGTGAGCTCTGAAGAGACCTGAACAGATCCTTGAGGCTCGGGCGCTGTGGGCGCCGGAACCGGCACTGTTAAGGGGAGAGTTTTTCTCATGCGATCCGGGATTGAAAGAGGTTGCGAGGCACAGGCCTCGGTTGAAGCTAGCTGCGAAGCACTTGGCAACGGAAAACCCAGATCAAGAAGATTTGTTTGCCGGCTCCGAGATCGACTCTCCGGCCTGCAATGCAAAGAGCACCAAGACAACTCGGCGCCCAGTGGCTGGCAGGGTGCAGTGCTCATCTCGCGCACAAAATTTAACCGGCCCGTGAGACACTTGCAAATCCACGGTCTGATTTGGCTCGCTTACTCGGACAGCCCCCCCTCGGAAAACTGTCAATTGCCCTTGGTCCCCTTCTCACCTCCTTGATTGTCTTTATTGGGTCCCTTGGGCTTCCACGGCTGGCTCTGGTCTCAGCAGGCTTGGGAGCGTCAAGCAGGACATCACGAACTGATTGTTCGCTGCCGCGGCTATGTGCTTGTCAAGAGGAGCAGGGGCTCCGACCACGATGAATGTTGCCTCGTCTCCTGGGCCACGACCTGCCAAAGCTTCTGGTCCGCTGGAAGCTGCTGAACGGTAGTGTAGCGATAGCCCGCGGGAGGCACATTGTGGCAAGTTCTCAGGCTGCAGGACTTGAGGCAATCAATGGGGTGTGCCCGAATTTGGCGCTGGTGGCTTCCACGCGGCTCCTAGCTGATCTGTATTTGATCACTGCCGTACGGTACACGCCCATTCTTATGTCATCCTCCCACCCTTGGACCCGATCGAAATCGGTGAACTGGCTGCGGACACGGCCGCCAGGCGTCAGCAGCGCATCGCGGCCGATGGCTCACACCAGCCAGGCGTGTACTTTGTCAGGTACCGAGACGCGGTACCGGAGGGCACCACCTTTGGAGCTTATTCGGCGTATAGCCGAATGGCCGATGGCCTCCACGGCGCCCAAAACCTGGAGCAGAAATCGGGCGGCTGGAGGGCCTAGAGGCGACCCATCGGATGACATTCTGGTTGTCTCCGGCGTGCACGACGACTTTGCCCGTCCAGGCTTTCCAACGGGCAGAACCAAGCACAAAACTGCGAAAGTTCCACCAGCGAGATCATCACTTCTTCCTTGCTGTCTCCTGAGCGGAGCCGGGAGCGAAACGCTCCTCGTCTCCGCCTGTCGGGGAAGAGTTCGGAGCCGACCCGGGGCCGAAACGGCCCTCGGGCCATCCCCTTCAGAGTAAGAAGCATGGAGGAAGTCCCTCATGCAAGGCAGCTCAGAGGTTCTCGACAGGTTCCACGACTGCCAGTCGAGCCTTCCAGTCAATGGCCCCCACCACCTGAGTAGTGGCATCCCCCGAGGCCCACACGACCTGATCTTGTAGGCCCGGAAAGGAAAGGTACTCAGGAAGAGTGAGAGCTCCAGAAGTGAATGGGAAAATCGGGCTTCCCAGGTGCCTTATCTGGTGGGCCCAACAAGTCATTGGTGGCCCCCAGATAAGGGGCCAGGCTGGGGAAGACAGCCAACCAAAATTGTTGGTTCCCGCGCAATTCTTGGAGAAGGCGCAGGGGGACGACTCGGTTGCCGTGATCAAATTGGGGCAGGTGGAGAAGGTGGTAAGCTTTTTCGATTTTAACAAGCGGCAAGCTTACAGTTCCACGGCCAGTATCGTAGGTCAATCCCCAGACGAGCTTCCTCGTCTCCAGAGCTCCCTCTACGGCGTCTTTTTCGGGGTTGATCGATCTGGGACCGAGAGTAACCCGAGTCATCTTCTCCGCCACCTCGACCGAAATCCACGGGCGTAGACCGATATCCGGTTCAACCAGGACGGTGTCGTCCATGAGCACGAAGGAGTGGAAAGCGACATCAGAAGCCTCCCATCCTTCGTTGGAAGGTCCATGGGCTTCATGACCTGCCTTGAGAACCCAAGCGAAACCCATGTACTCCCCCGGCGCTCCCCTCCATCCGAAGGTCATGTACCCGTAGAGGAGGGTGGCGTCATGGTCCGCCTCGAGATATCCGGCCGGGAGATCGGCGGCGAAGAACTTCGTGTCTTGCAAAGCCACGGGGAGCCACTTGAAGGCGTCCGAAACGTCCTTCTTGCTCAACAGGATGGGAACGCCCGGAAACTTGAGCCCCCAATAGAGAATGACCCTCGCGACCTCGCGGTGCTTTGGTTGCAGGGCTGGAGGAAAATCCTCCTTAGTGCAGAACCGATTCACGGGTGTGGCGTCCCACACAACCCTGCCTTTGTCCGAAACGGTCCTATCGGGGTTCATTTTGGGGACTCGTGCCATTGGCACGGATATAACCCCGTCAAGGCCTTTTCCCTGGTCGAAGCACACCAGTTCGGTTAATGTATTCGCAGCTGCTTCCTATTTGCAGCTTTATATGTAATGGAAATACATATAAAGCAAAAGAATATTCAAATGGAATATTCAAATGGAATTGATGCAGTCACTCGCACAACACTCGCTCCTTTTGTTCTCTGGCGGGAAATGCAGATCCGAGCTTCAGCAGCAAGAAGCTGCCTGTGAAAAGGGTCTGCATGTTTTCTCCCTCATCCGATGGGATCTAGGTGCATCAAAAGGCACCGACCTGCCATGGAGAGAGAAAATGCAGATGGACCGATCCTTTTAAAGGACAGACCATATAGAGGCAGAACAAATGCAAATGCAAGCAATGCGAAAGCAGTGTAAGAGTGCAAACGCCAGCACTCGCACCCAGAAAAAAGGGGAAGAGGTGGGTGGGACAAAAGTTTCTGCCCGCTATGCAGGCGAGTTGGCAGCTGCGAGCCTGCTTGCTGCAATGCACATGGAATGTCATGAGTGCAGCAAGCATGCAAAACATTACCAAACACTCGTGAGCAAGCACACATACCGTTCGGTTAATGTATTCGCAGCTGCTTCCTATTTGCAGCTTTATATGTAATGGAAATACATATAAAGCAAAAGAATATTCAAATGGAATATTCAAATGGAATTGATGCAGTCACTCGCACAACACTCGCTCCTTTTGTTCTCTGGCGGGAAATGCAGATCCGAGCTTCAGCAGCAAGAAGCTGCCTGTGAAAAGGGTCTGCATGTTTTCTCCCAAATGCAATCTGCCAGAGAACCGAAGTCGCGCATCAATTCCACCAAATGAAAAACGTGCGACAAGGTGATTAGAGTGCTGCTCCCAATGGAGAAACACTCGGAACTCGAAAAGGAGGCTTCCAGCCCTCCGGCGAAAGTGAAATGGAAGGCGACGCAGTCCATAACGAGGTTAAAGGAATACGTCGACGACGCGACATGCTCCACCGATCAGGTAATGGAGCAGGAGGAAGCCAACGGCTCAAAAAGTCCGCTTCCACATTCTTAGGACCTGCAATGTGATGCACATCAAGATGCACACCAGTAAAACTACTCAAAATGGCTAGTCGCTGCACAAATGCAGCAAGAGGCCATGAAGTCGTAAACAGTTTGTTTGCTGTGGCCTCGGCACCACTGTTGTCACACCAGGAATGCATGCGAACAGAAAGCCTGCATCCTGGGTTAACTGCACTCAAAAGCCAAACTAATGCAATCTGACCCAAGCATTCGTAGCAAGTAATGTCCTTGTGCGCCTCGGACTTAAGAGGAAGCTCTGCAAATGCAAATTCCTCCACAGTAAATCTTTCAGAGAACCAGAATTCCCCAGCCGGTAAAGCAATGTAGCCGCCAATAGCAAATGTACGGCCATTGCCCATAGCATCGGCGGCAGCCTCCACCATTATAGTGTCAATTGGACGAAGGGATCGCCAGATAGGGGGCAATGAAGACCACTGCAGCCAGAAAAACAATAAGTTGCGAGAAGCTGGGCTCAATGCACGGCGTTTTGAGGCCGAATCAGCAATGCGAAGCCAGATATCCTTATCACCAATGTTGCAAGACAAAAGTTCGCGCTTGGTGCTAACTTTGCGATGTCTCACTGCAAGCACCTTGCTGCCCACCGTAATGGCGGATCCAGTGGGTAACCTCACAAGATGCAAGGTATCATTGAGACATGAAATGAAGGACTGCCAGTCGTTTTGACGAACACTGAAGTTGGTTGCACGAGGAGTGTTGAGGTCCTGGTAAAGTGACCTGAGCCAGGGCCTGGCCAATGGAAAAAGCTTGAAAAGCCATTGCATCATGCCACACAACTTGCTCAATGTAACACGGTCCGTGTATTTACCACGGAGAGCGGTGACTATAACTGAATGCAATCGCTCCAGCTTGTCAGACGGAATGCAAACGCACCCCATGCCAAAATCGAGCTCCCACCCTATCCAGCGGATGGAGCAGCCAAACTGCAATTTCTTCCACGACAAAGGAATGGAAAATGCACCACAGAAACAGAGGGTAATGCAAAAGCTCATCTCCGCCACCGATGCAGATTGGAAGCCAAGTAAATCGTCCACGTACATGGCGAGGAAATGAGCAATGAAAATTAAGCGATGGAGTGTCCGAACGAAGAATGCACCAAGTCTAGCAAACCAGAATGCAGAAAATGCAGCACCGAATGGACACACTGAATAGAAATAAAGCTTGGGGCCCACCCGGATGCCGAGGAGACCTTGCTCGGACTCCCGAACCATAATGGACTTGTGTGCAGCTTGCACATCCAGAGACCAAGCAGCGAGTGGCTCATGTTTCCCACGCAACGGCCATGAAGTCTGTATAGTCTGTAAAGTAGGGAGTGCAGACGGCTCAGGAATAAGGCATGATGCATTTGTACCACAAATGGAGGAATCCACCACGAGTCGCGGTTTACGGCCTTCAGAATGTACGATATTAAGCTTGC